AACAACTTCAGGCAATGAATGGATGGAAGAGGCATGAAGGGGTTTGGAGCTCCAGAACTGTTTCCTATGCTGCCAGTGCATCCATCCCCTGCCACACTTCTTGCTGCATTMAGTGATGCTCCTGTACTAATTTGCCCAGGCAATATCCAGAGATCTCACTATAGCTGAAGTCCGATATGGTGAGGATGTTGAAGCCTTGCCCTGAAACTGCAAAGCCATCTGTAAGTCCAGGCCTAATAAATCTCCTCCCTCATGCCTCAGCATTTAAATAGCTGAATATGTGTGGGCTATAAAACTATTTTTTTTTCTTTAAAACTACCTTTGCAATTGCTAAGCATTGTAGGTACTGATCAAACTCATGTTCCCATTTTTGTAGACTAAGCAAAATGAAATGTTGTTATTGCTCATGTCCGTAGCATTATGAGGGAGTGCAAGACTGACATGGTCAGAGTGGGGGGAAAAGGGAAACACTAATTACGCATCTTTTTGTAGGCCTTATTAATCCTTTCTCTTACTCTGCGAAGCATAACTAAATCCAAAGTGGCTGGATATGGTAAAGAACATCTTTGAACCTTAGATGATGCACTTTTTTTTTTGGAGTACCAAATATGTGTCTTTCTAATATATGGATAAATAAAGTCTCRCCTAGTCATAGATTGTGATTACAGGAGGTTAGGACAATAAAAGTCTGAAAAGTACACCTGCACGTCAGGTTGCTTTCAGAATTGCAGACATAGAAATGGATGAGTATAATAAGCATAAAATATATTGCAATTAAATCACACAGGGTCAGGGTCGCTGTTGGCACAATTCCACTGCAGTTAATGGAGGTACAAGAAAGAAAAATCCTGCATTTTAAAGTTGTAGTCTATCAGACCTTCCTTTTTTGGCTCACTTTTACAGATATCCCATACCATAATGACACATGAGTATGCAGAAATACACAGATTGTTGCAATGATGACAGAAGGAAGACCAGGGACTCATTCCAGCATTAGCGTTTGCCATCTCCCAAATAAACAAAAGCTTTAAAGAAACTCTTCTACCAGACAGAGTTACAAGCAGCAAAAATTGATTCTGATTTTGGGTGTGTTCACATAACAATTACTTACTTGGATAGCATATTAATAAAAGAAAACTAACAAAAGTCYCAACAGTGACAGTAAGGATTGTCGCAATCTGATATGTGAGAAAGATTCTCCTTTAAATGGCTTTGTACTTATTCCATACAAAGTACAAAAATCACTATTCAGTATAAAAATCTCTCTATTCTTGAGAACATCTGACTGTCATGCCTATGGATTTTCCTGGGAGAATTCTGACAGCTTCTTTATTATTTCTTTGAGACAACATATATAAATATATATATAGGTATAAATTTCTTTTACAACCTGTAAAATCTTTTCCTTTAAAAAAGAATCTTATCCTGGCTATATCAAAAAAACATTTGTCTTGCATAGTACAATAATGTGGACTTAATGTTCTGAAAGTTCAGTTTTCAGTGAGAGTTAACAGACTTCACTCCTTATGCAAAATGCATTAAATAAAGAACTACAGCAACAACAAACCCCAGAGTTGTTGGCAACCAAGCCCATCTCCTAGCTTTGCCTAACAGATAAAGATAATAAACTGCTTTATGAAGAGCTTTTCTGAAAGTGTGAAGAGAGATCTTAGCAACTTTGAAGTGTTCTCTGCTTTCTGAGTTGGGCCTCCGCTACACACTGACTAACCCTGTGACTGACAGTTGTGCCAGAGGGATTTCTGCAGATCCGCAAATGTCTTAGTAAGGCACCACAGGTGGGCAAGCTGCATGGCTAATGCAGGGCGGGCAATCTCTAGCACTTTTTATCATGTATATAAAACCAAATCATCTGTTGTTTCTAAACAGACATTGTGACCAGAATTTGTAACTCTCACACATGAATTCATCAGTGTCACAAATGTGAAAAATATTGATGAGAGAATGATTCTTTAGAAGTTGCCAAGGAAACAAAGACAGAGAAAGAGYTTGTTTTATTAATTTTCTGTATCAGTGCTTAAAAATATTGCTTTTTCAAAACYGCACTGTGGCTCTTTCCTGGAAGTCTGCCTCACATGTTAAGAAAAAGAAAACAAACGATTTTTCTAGAGATTACTGTATATTAATTGACTGTTATAAATCAGGACAGTGAAGATAAGATCTGATAAGGAACAAACAGACTGGGAATTTCAAAAACAGCAGGTGATTTAGCTATATGTCTTCTATCAAAATAAATATCTCCCCAGAAAATACTGTTGTATTTATTTTCTTCTTCTTCTTCTTCTTCTTTTTTTTTTTTTTTTCCTCCTGCATGAATAATAAATTGACTTGGAAAAGTGGTAATGGAGTAAGATCAGTTTTGGTTTTTTTTGTTTTTCTTTCTTAAACTGTCTATCAGTATGTTATCAAGTCATTAGAAATGAACCATATGTGAGGTAGACACTAATAGGAAATATCACTGATTAACTWATGTATTGCTCACTCCAGATTACTGAAATAGCTTTTCTGAATAGCTTTCCTAAGTGTCATATAGACATTGTCTAGCCACAAGTCATGCATACTGAATTTGAAGATGAAAAGAGTCTTATAGAGGATTTTAAAGTGGGCCAAAACTGAATTCATTTTTGAAAGCAGCCTTCAGCTTTATCTACTGAGTACTCTCTAGTGCTTCAAGATCTGCTCAAAATTAGAGGGGAAAAAAAGGGCTTTTTTTGATAGTGTAATCTAGAGGTAAATAGTGTATCTAGTAGTGATAGTGTATCTAGTAAAAAAACTTTGTGGTTTCTATTAAAAAACATAGTGATTTCTGTCCAAAACCCTTGAATTAAAAGGAGTGTTCTGTACTAAGGTAGATTTTGAGATCTGCATATTACTTTGTGTGCATCAATAATTATTTTACTTATATAACAGTATTTAGCCAAGGATTTTTTAAAAATGAGTAAAATTGGTGAGACATTTTTGRCTATAGGCTGTGGGAATACTCTTAGGGGCCCTCATGATAATTCCCCTAAAATAATCATGTTTGTATTCATTATAATATATATAWGCAATGATAATTAATGGTATATTTTAAATCCTGCTGTACAACAGAAGAAATGCTAGTCACAATTGGAAAAGCCTTTTCTACTGCTTTAGCATACTACTTTAGCTCTCTTCTTTCATTCGAGATTTGCATTTGTTGATTAATTTATAAAAAAAGTAGACAAACCGACTTTCTTAAACGGTGCCTTCTTCCATGCATGAACAGTGCACGTATAGTATTTGTAYTTATTTTGTTATATTTTTTCAATACTGATACCATTTACAAAGAAGAGAAGCATTGGAATGCCTGCAGAGGGAGGAGYGTGTAATAACGAGYCCAAATGCTGGYATACATAGTGACATGTCAGAGAGAAAAGGATCACTGTAGGCATAATCATTGCTTCTGGGCTGGAATGTGGGTAATGATGTGGAGAATGTGGTCAACTCAAAAAGGCTTTAATTCTTGTAGGCAGGAGATTGAATGAAAATATACGTCTATATAAGTATGATTGTATGATAACAGGGTTTTTTTCCCAAATTTAAAATTCCATCACCACTACCCTCTCTTTTTTTCCCTCTTTCTACCGTCTCTTTTTTTTCCCTCTTTCTGTGGTGCTGAAGTTAAGTCTATATAGCACACTGATGGGGAAGGAATCAAGATTTTTGTGAATCCCCTCCCATCATATTCACAACAGTTAATTTCTCATGGTGCTTACTGGCATAGTCCCAGCTGTGTAAGTTGGATTTACTTTATCAGGTTATTCACTTTTCTGTTCCAAACCTGAAATGTGTAGACGTTACCATAGTCTAGTTACAAAAGATACCATCATCTCTTTGTGTCTTCTCATTGGTTATTAGTTAAAGGTACTGCTTTTTTAAAGACATTTTCTTATATGCTCTCTGTTTAGGTATGAACTTTCTGCTCAGACAGATGTTGCAATTATCACATGCCATCAGTGTTTGTGTTTTTTTTTTAAATGGGAGAGTTTTAGACAGATCTCTTTGGCTGTAGAAATTAAACTTCATGCAAACAGGAGATAAATTTGATTGTAATGCAAACTGACTGTGGCTTCTGATCTGCAAGTCTGTCATACTGATCATGCTGTATTTGTAAATTGTGGTTTATGAATAGGTAATGCAAAAATGTGTGTACCTTTACAGATAAATACATAATCTTTCCTGGTAAATTGGAACTAAATTTGAAACAAAAGTTCCTCAGAATGCAAACATTTCCCAATATTCAGTAGTGGCTTGGCTTCAATCYTCTGCTTTGGGTTCCTACAGAAACCGTCTCATTGCAAGACTTGAATTCATACTGACCTAGCACGAGGGCATATTTGTTCAGAACTATAGCTTTAAGCTTTAACATGTTAACCCATGTGTGTTGAACAATGGAGGACTGATGTCCAGTATATGTGYGTCTATTAATAAATAAATAAATAAACAAATGTGTGCATCACTGTTGTGTACAGGGAACCCAGATTTCATGAACTGTAAATTACCTCACTTGATAACAGAAAGATTCCCTGAATTATTGGACTATTGGAGAAAATTTTATCCTGTTAATATTGGAATATTTATATGAATAGTAAAACCTTTCCCATTCTGTTTTCATAAAAGGAAAATCATTGCAGAAGAATAAAAATCCTAGGAGACTGTTACTACTGTGTATCAGGATTGACTCAGCCCAAAACAGATCATGCCCATTGCTGTGTTGAAATGGGACTGGATATGATTGACACGATTACGTAAGTATCAATCATGGTGAACCATGACAGGAATGCTGTGACAACTCCTATGTGGTGTTCAGGACTTGTGTTCTTAAAGAAATAGCAGTGCCTGCCAGCACTGCTCCCCTGGGGAGTCACACTCTTGCATTCAGGACACTGACTTCAGGAAGGGCCATTCTAGACATTGATTTTCCACTCCATTTAATCTCCGTAAGGATAAGTATGCAAGTTCAGCATGCAGAAGMACATGCATGTACTGAATAAGTGGCAGAAAGATGCTGGGAAATAACAAAATATACCTTATTGCCAATTGTCATGAAGAAAGGAGTAAAATTTCTTGTTTCACAGTGATAAACACTGCTCATTTTGCCCACCAGTATGTAAACTCACAACCAATCCTGATGTATGCCTGTTTTATGTGCTTGCAATCTGAAAATAATAGCTTGCTGATTAGTCCTTTCTTTTTGCAATGTTTAAACCTTTCATTTATTCTGCTTTTCAGAAATGCAATGTGAAATGCACTTTGCTGATCAGATTTTTTTATACTTGAAAACTCTTCACTGATCATTATTTTGTCGAGGCTATTAAAAAATACAGATGTGAGAGAACTGTGAATGAGCTTTGAGTCAATGCTGGAGATCCATTTCATTACATAGGAAGGAAAGGATAAAAACGGAAAATTTCTTCACTACTGTATTGTCCATTTCTCCTTCTCCTTTGCTAAACATACTACAAAATCTCTCAGTGTGAAGAGTTGGGTAAATGAATTAATTTTCTCCCTCTCATTCAATGCAAGTTCAATCACATTTATAAGCATTGTAAAATTGATAAMGTACCTTGTAATATCTTAATCTGTAGTTTATTACAGTCCATGATAATATAAAATCCTAAAATAATATGTGTATTCTTTCAGCAGTGTATGGATATTCCATTTATAAGAAAGCCCTAACCTTCAGAAACATATTGAGATGTACAGGTCTTGTACAGATTTTTTRAAAGCCCTTTGGTTTGTTTCTGATTATTTTTAATCTCTGAAAAGCAGTTGATGATGCTCTCATCCTCTTTTAAACCTATGAATCTTTAATTCATTAGTTGTGCTGTATTTCATGTATAGAAATGAGGTATTGATATACTGTTGGAACTTTCCTCTTTAGAATGTTTCAGTTTATAATATTAGAAATTAACATGTTCCCTTTTTATAGTGTATTTTATTGGCTACTGACATGATAATGTAAACTTGATAAAGAAGTTGAATAGAAAGAAATGACCTGGGACTCTTCATCCTGTAGAAGGCTCAGAGGGAGTTTGGCAAATACCTACTGAGAGGCAGTAAACAGGACAAACTTTTCTCAGTGACATTCAGTGCCAGTGCAAGAGGAACTGGGCAAACTGAAATACAAGAAATTCCATTTAAAAATAAAAAAAACCTGTTTTATTGTGGAGCTGGTCAGATACTTGAGAGGTTCCACTGGAAAGCTGTGGCATTTGTGTGCTTGGAGAGATTTGAAACACAGCGGGGCACAGTTCTAGGTAATTTTCTGTAGCTGACTGTTCTCTGAGCAGGTCTGTTGGTCTAGATGATTTCCCAAGGCCCCTTGTAGTACCAGCAACTTTGCGATTTTAAGTGAATGAGCTCCAGTGTGTTATCTAGACACGGTTAGTCAGAGCTTGTGGCAGAAGATAACTGGTAATTTCAGAATTTTATCTTTTTAAAAATTAATGATTTTTTTATCTTTTGTGTAGTCAGTGGTCAGAGCATGGTRAGAGGACAACATGGATAACAGTAAGGCTGTAAGACAGTGTCAGAGTTATTCGAGGTTGTTGGATAGCTAGGGACCTATTCTGCATCCTTTGTGCAAAAACACAATTAGTCTCTCTCCTTCACAGAAACCAAAGTTAGAAGATAGATTTCCCAGCTTAATTTGTTTTAAAATATGTTTAGTAAATGAAAAAGGAGAAGTCAGAAGCTTCTGACAGTGAAGTTAGAATGTGTTGGAAGTTAGAGCTTTTCCTTTTGTCTTTCTTTCTCTTAGGGAATTTTCCCCCATTTTGTTACTAAGGAACAATAACGACTGGGTACTCAAGAAAGACAAAAGAAGTTGCCACCCTCAGGGGAGGCAGGCACTTGGCTGCACTTCTCTTACCTGAGGGTTTCTCTGAGAAGAGCAGAGATAGCAAGAGAATTGGGCTGGGAAAAGGGGCGGGGGTGGGGGGTCGGGGCAGATGCTAGTCCTTTTGCTCTCTCGGCTTTGGAGGAGGATAGTGGAGCTGCTGCTTGGGGGGAGGAATTCACTGCTGCCGTCGGAGCGCAGCGTCCTGCTGGGGTGGGCCTTTGCTGCTATGAACAGCCGCTGCATTGGGACATGAACACCCGACCTCACCAAAGAACCCTCCAACACCTGCTGGCGTGCCTCACGGGAAACCCCGGGATCCCCGAGCCCCCTCCCCCTCCAAGGGGCCATATTCAGGTACCGGGGGGCCACTGCCCAGCCGCCGCTGTTTCTGTGACACTGCTCCGAGGTTTCTTTGCCACACCGTAACTCGTACCCCGCGCCCTGCTGGAACACCCCGCTTCCAGCTACCTCTGCCGAGTTTTTGATATATCTTATCTATCAGTCTGGGACTTTGCTCATCCCTGCCTTCCCAGCTTGCTACTCCGAGGCTCCTTTTGCTATCCAGAGGGGGCACCGGGAACGCCTCCCCCTGTGAGTTCGTAAATGAAACCCTTTCTCCATCCGTTTCTACCGGCCGCGCCCGCCATTACCGCTTGGGGAGACCCGGCTTAACCCGCGCCACAGCGTCCTCTGCCGGCGCGGGGGAATCAGCGCCCCTGCCCTGCCCCGCTGGGACCCACCAGCGCCCCTGCCGGCTGTGACCATAACTGCACCACAGGGGAGSGCGCGCAACAGCCCAGAGAACGCTGTCACTGGGTTTCTGGTTGCTTTGTTGTTGCTGCTGTTGTTGCTGTTATTTCTTTCCCTTGTTATACATACTAGTAAAGAACTGTTATTTCTTTTCTCATATCTTTGCCTGAAAGCCCAATGATTTCAAAGTTGTAATAATTTGGAGGGAAGAGGGTTCATATTCTCCACTCCAAGGGAGGTCCCCGCCTTCCTTGGCATACATTTGTCTTTCAAACCAAGACAGAATACAGCATGTTATTTGGTATTGGTATGATTATTAGGTTTTTGTTTATCAGTTCCATGAGATGCAAAGTCACTTTTTTWAAATTTCCCTCTTTCATGCAGAGCTGGATGCAAGCTGGTAATCCTTTTAAAGTCTATTCACGTTACCGTAGAATTCAGATCTTGGCACTGTAAATTTATGCTTGGAATTTGTCATCCCTAGTGATAGGTTTGTCATATTACCTGGGATAAATCAACCAATCAGTCAATCAATCAGTCACTTAATTGTGATTCAGGTGATGGGTCTGCCAAAAGTGTCCGTCTCAGAGATATGTACCAAGAAGATGTGGGTTTTTTTCTGGAAAATCAAGGAATAGAAACTTCTATGGCTGATTGAAGGTTCAACCATTTATATGATTGAGTTGAATGTATTCGTATAAACTGATGCATTCCATTCTCTTCATATTCCACATAACTGTTTTTACGTATCCTACAACATGGTGCTACATGTATCATCTGACAACATAATTTTCAAAGTATTGTAAAATAACTGTAATTCTCACAATTTCATCCATCTTCCTCAAAGTGTTTTCTTCAAGAGTTCAGAACCAAAATAATTATGGGAGAAGGAGATTTTATTCTTATAAAACTGACAAAACAGATAGTGTTGTATTCTGCTTCTGATCCAAAAGAATTTCTGCAATCATTGTGTCAGTGTCTGCGTACAGACCAGGTGTTTGTTTTACTTTCAAGTCACTTAATATAATACATTAATACAATTAAAATCATCATATTCATTAGCATCTCTGATTTGTCTTGTATTTCTCTAGTGTGGCAGATGTCCTCACCTTGTTTATGTACAGTGTGTTAGGCCCAGTACACTCTTCAGCTTGCTTAAATTGATTCCCACATTTGAAGGTTTTAGTCTCATGAACTACAATGTTTTACCTTCTAAACAGATATATTTGTTAGCTAATTGCCATGTAGAAAAGTTATCCCAGCTAACAAAGCTCTTCCCTCCCTCTCTATTCCAAAACTCTTTCTAGAGTTCTGGTTTTAGCGAGTGTTATGCCAGCAATTTTATACGTTGTTAATAATAGTTTGTCTTTCCTTGAAAGCACTTCATCAATAGATATAAATTGTATTAAACAGTTCTTTGGCTCAGTCCAGAAACCCCTCTTAGAAGATGGAATGTGCTGAAATGAAGGATTTATTTACATGCATTGAATAATGTTGCCTAGCAAGAAATAATCTGTAGTGTTTCAATTAGAAATAAGTGTGAGTGAGCAGTATATAAATACTAGATTTTGTACTGRGTCAAAATATTGGTAACATTTACAAACTTATCAAAACTTTGATGGAAAACTGTAGTGATTCCTGGTGTCACATAGACAGTGCATTTTCATGATGATTCTCCCTGTAATACTTTACTAGGATGTAAGTACATTACTGTACATTTTAGTACTGGCTCAGAGGGAATTGCACCACAGCTGCACCACTGACTGTGTAGTAGCAGGAAGCGGGGTACAGTAGGAGCAGGTCTGTGGATCACAGCAAGTGCTGCTGGCTGCTTCACTTCAACCTACACACATTTTGGTGGCAAGGAGAGGAAGGGTAACTTTAGAATGTCTCATTCGACCTTCTGATTCGATGTTGCGGCTGCTTATGGGCTTTGAAGAGGTATGAAGAAGACCATCCAAGAATCCTTCCTTCTTGAGAACTGGGCAACCCAGTGGGGTTTATCAGCCATTCTGTGTGTCACATATGTGATTTTATCCCATATGGATAACTCCACCAATGCTATGTGAATGATCCTACCAGTCATCATGTAAGACCTCATAGAGGGAAGTTTGTCTTACATTGCACCTGCACACTGTGTTACTGCTTGGTTGCAGTGAGCATTGGGGAGGTTGATGCTTGAACGGTCTCCTTTCAATGGGTTTGATCACTGGCTGACCAAAAGCACCAGGGAAGGGAGAAGAACTACAGTAGCCAGTTTGTGTAAGTCTAATGGAAATACCAAGTTTTCCAGTGTGATTTTTGTCAGAGGAAATACACAGAAGCATTAACTTCTCTGATGTTAGACTGTTGAAGCTTTTCCCTTGGTCATCCATAGGTTCAGAGCCTGGGAAAGTTTTAACTGGTGGGAGTGAATTGACCTCAAGCTTTGAGGGAACTAGCAGCTGCCTTTTAAGGAAGCTACCAGTGATGAAGTTTAGTCAGCTTGAGCCTCAGTCAAAGCAAGCCAGCAGCCCTTCACAGCCCAGACTCTCTACCCTAGTGCTCTGCTGCAGCTGAGCAATGCTCTGGGGAATGTATGTAATTGAACCAAAAATCATATCAAATCTATATCTATCTAACCAGGAAACATTTATTTATGCAGATAGTTTTAGATCTAAAGAAAAAACCTAAATAATTATAAGAAATGGTATGCAGAGCTTTCTTCTTTCCCTCCTCCAATGCTCAGGAGCAGGGGTCTGGAGCTGTTCTGTAAGAGATCTAAATTACTTTTGTGGCTTGTAGCAGCACATGAAATATGTGTAGTTAAGAGCAGAACTAAAATTTATAAATTTTGTAGGATCCTTGAGCTGTCAGAGTAGATGGTCGTCTGATTAGTCACTTGCATAGATTCTGAACACATCTGGGTTACAAAAAAAAAAAGATTTTTTTATTTCCATTTGCTTCTGGGCCTACTTCTGTGTTAACATTTGGGAAACTTAAGTATAACATAGGAACCTTTGAGAGAAAAATTATAATGAATCATTTATTTGGGACATTTTTTCCTATTCCTGGCTTGTTTGTAAAGTGCTAGTGTTTTCTCATTAGTAATTTAAAATATCTCAGTGAATGTTTTTGTGATATTTTATTGTAAAAATATTGATGTCTTTTGGGAATATGATCATTATACTGCTCTGAATTTATATTTGAAGCCTGTTCTTTATGTATTACCTAATATTTCTCATTTTTGTTTTTTTTTGTTTTTTTTTTGTTTTTGTTTGTTTGTTTTTTTTTTTGTTGGGGTATATTCATGGAAATTATCTCCATAAAGGGCACACAGGTCTTCAAGAAAATTAAAAAACAAAATTCTTACTCAAATTTAGTAATGATGAAAGCATTCCCAAAACACATTGTAGCTTCTGAGGAAGATGTAGAAATGCATTATTGATTTAGAGTTTTCACTAATGTAAATTTTTTGTTGAAAACATGAAGTGTTTTAGGATTCTGCTTCTTATTCATTGGTGCATTATACAGTTCAGCTTATTTAATAAGGAATATGATCAGCCATGATGTATTTCTCTGCTTGTCTCTTTTAATTTACTTTTTGTTATTCTATTCAAATTTCTAAAAGGAGATTAAATTTCCCCCACTCAGTGAAGCTGTTGGGGCAAAGCAATGTCAAAGGCTGGAGTGGCTTTATCAGTGTCTGAATTGCTGTCTGAATTGCACTGTCTTTCCACATACATTTAGTCTGAAGTTTTATCCACTTTTTTTTAAATGGAAGAGGAGGGAGGAAACCAACAAAAAATCTCCACACATTTGTGAACAATGAAATTCAAACAGTTGCAGGTTCATTAATGAAGATTATTACATAGGTACTTATTTATGCAGGAGAACATAGGCAGGCAAGGTGTAAGGCTTTGGCTTGCAGGGTATGGTCCTGGTGCAAAGTCAATCTGTTAATGACACAACACACATGCTCAGGTGAAGATACAAAGTGTGCTTGCTTATCATTCAGTGCCTTATGTTATTAGAGTCTTTCATTTCCTCAAAGCTTTGTCAAAAAGACAGTGTGCACAACAAAGCTTTGTAACACTAGAATCCTTTTAGTTCTCCTTGAAGTCATATTTGAGGCTTGACTGGGAACAGACACTGAATGAAGAAAGCTGACTTGCAGTGAGTAGAACTAGTATAAGGAATTATTTAATCTTTCAGAAAGCTGTGCATAAGCCTTTCTGTGCTGTTGCATAAAATATGACTGAAAAATGTGTTATGCCCAGATTCCCTAAGGGGACAAAGAAATCTCCATGTTACTCACATTAGTGGTGGTTGATGTGGTATATTCTTCAGAACTTCATATGTAATGAGTTTCTTATTTAAATTGAGGCCAGGCATCGTTGCTGCATATCCCACATCTTGATCTGTGCTGGGCTTTCTGTCAGTTGTATTTAAACAAGCACAACTTCTGAAATAGTTGAAAAATATTTCTAAAGCCCTCTCTGCCAAATCAAGTGTAACTGGGTGATACTTGGAAAAAAAAATTGGTCAATGAAGATCAAGGGAAAATTATACCCAGCATCTCATTTTAAGGTCTTCTATTAAATGCACCAGAAAAATCAGATTTAGAGAATCTAATTAAAACAAATTCTTACACTGAAGAGTTAGTTTCCTTTATTCAGAGACATTATCACTTTTTGGACTGCAACTGAACTGTGGAATTACTGGTGTTTCTCTAGCAGAAAGAGCTGAAAAGATCTATGTACAATGTTATTTCATAATATGTAATGCTTAAGACTGTTAGTTTCAAGGTACCTTTTCAGTGTTCACAACTTAGTGCAGGGTGCAAATCATAGCATGCCCTTCATTCACAGAAATGAAGAATCTGTCTTTATTGTGGCACCAGAAAAAGTGCTTTTAATAACAATTTTGTAGATTAATTTGTATTTTAGCACCTAGGCAGTGAAAATCTCTGAACATTAGATTTAATTTACAGGTGCAAGACTGTAGTTACAAGTTGTTTTAATGCCACTCTTGCAGGAGCTTTGRAAAGATATTAGTGTTTGTAAGAGTAATCACTCTTCATTTGCTTTTCTCACACTGATTTATTGCTTTCATCATTTTCTTTGTCCTGTACTCTGGTAACTGGGTAATTCAACCCATTAGGACATAGTAGATTGGGAATAGTTACTTACACACTGACCTTCTCAACTAGTGCCTCTTCATTCCTCTTTTGTCACATAAATGGTCAAGATATTTAGATATACTGAAATTTTGGTTCAACAGTAAATAAAATATAACCAAGAATTTTTTTTAAAATTACAACTAGGGCCTTCAAACCAGTGAAGGAAGAAAACAGTGCCTGAATATACCATTTCAGGTTTTTAAAAGGCCCTTTCTATTCAGTAATGTATAAATATATGTGTTAATTTTGGGAGGAGAATAAAAGAAAATCAGGAACAGTCATTGTCTAAATATTAATATTCTGATGCTGTCCATTACAGATCTGTTGCAGAAGCCACAGAGGTTGATCTCAACATGAGAGTTGGATTACATACAGGCAGGGTGCTTTGTGGGGTCCTGGGTCTCCGAAAATGGCAATATGATGTCTGGTCAAATGATGTGACTTTAGCTAATGTGATGGAAGCTGGAGGACTGCCTGGGTAAGTGCAAAAGAACTGTAGAAAAAGAAATAGAAAACTGTATGGATGAGGAATTTATTTCCTTTTTTGAGACATTTGCATTGTTAAGATTATAAACACAATGATAAGAAACATTGTGTTTAGCAAGAGCAATCAATGTATTATGTGACTTATCCTTTGAAATTCTCCAAATGATCTTGACATTTGTGTAAGTAATAGATTAGATTAGAAGCAAAACATTTTCAAAGAAAATTGTTATTAGAAGTTGCTGAATATAAAAAGTAGGAATGAGGCAATACTAGGAATGTAAGAAGGCTAGACTTATCATTTCATGGTACAGTAGTAAAACCCTGTAGCTATTCCAGGAATTTTTCACTCTTACACACCTCTATACTTGGAGTGAGCAAGACAGATGCTCTGTTCCTTATGCATTACAAGATTTGCAGCTCTAGTCATGTGCTGTAGAAAAGAAATACCATAAAATACCATTTTATGAATGCAAATATTGATGACATTTACAAATCGGTAGCATATAAACCAGCAGGGAACCCATGGGGCACGGCCTGGAAATTTCAGTACTCATTGCACAACCTCAGACACAATTTAAATACACACAGTGAATATTTGCAGAGGCGCTCGGTGTTCTGTGTATGGCTCAAATTTGGACTAGGACCTGTCTTGGATTTTTACAAGATTATGATTTGCTGTACAGAAGGACAATGTAACCTTTAATTTCTATTTGTTGTATATATCTGCTTTAGACACTTTTGGCAGTGTATTTTATGTGTTCATTACCTTGAAGTTTTTCAGTGGAAAAAAATCTGAACACAAGTTTATTAGAGGAAAGCAGTAAAATCTTTTCAGATATCTTCTCTGAAGACATTTCAAATATGAGGGGTCTTTGGAGAGAAAATGTGAAGACTTTTTCAGGATAAGAAAACTCAGAAATAATGTCAAAGATGTGTGTGTTGCCAAAACAAAGTGAATCAGAAAGCTGCCTACTGAACAGAATGAGTGAATGATATGACTTAGAGGTGTGAAGTGAAACAGAAAAAAGTTTCTCCTTTGTAGGCAAGAGAGATTTGGAGTGTGATGTCACAGGTTCCAAACAGTAGGAAGTTTTTCCAAGCAACCAATGAGGTAAAAACTTTAAAAAACCACACAACATAGAAGATTCACATTCACTTTCTACAAATCATCAAATCTGCAAGTGTTTGAATAGCCAACACTTATCTTTCTGTTCCCTTTCCCCAAGTTTAGAAAACACATGTAATATAAATGTTTCTATATTCAATTTGGCTTAAAATACAAGACAATTTTTTTTTCCATCAAACCTGTGGTCTTGCATTGAAATTGGCCTGTTTATGAACTTCTGCACAGGAGTGAATTTCAGTAGCAACTAGCTCATGATGTATCTTTGCTTTAAACAAAATGTCTAATTTTTCTCTCCAGGAAAGTTCACATTACAAAGACTACCTTAGAATGCCTAAATGGGGACTACGAGGTAGAACCAGGATATGGTCATGAAAGGAATAGCTTCTTGAAGAAGCATAATATTGAAACATTTTTTATTGTGCCATCCCATCGTAGGAAGGTAAGCTTATTTAGTGATACATTTTCATAATTTAACTACTGCTCTGTGTTGTTCTGGAAATAGAAAAAAATACTGGGGTTTTTTTCCCCTAAAAGCTCTTTAGAAACTCTTGAAGATCCAGCAGTGAAATGGTAATATTTTGAGTCTCAGCATGCAATGAGGTGGTGACAGTGGTTTTGCAACAGGTGAGATTACAGTCACACCTTTCCTCCTCAACCAGTTACTGAGTGCAGCTTTTTTTTCTACTGAAAAATGGTTCTGATGACCTCAGTAGGAGTCATGAAAGTCCATAATTGTTGTTTAAACATGTTCAATTTGTTAAACATTTTCTACACTACATGAGACTTATCTTTGAAATTGTCTGTCATAACATGCTTAACAGGCCAAGAGAAACTTTATGGCCCTTTATCTCAGCCAGAGAATGTGGGATACAGATTTTTGCACCCTTAACTTCTGAAATTCTGTCCAAATAAATTTAATTCAGGGATTTGCCTTCAAGGGGAAAATTATCCAATTCTAAAAGTATTGGTTAGCTTTTAAAGTGATGTCTTTATGCACAGTGAGTTTTCAAACTGTCTAAACTCCATGTTTGAGGGTTTTAACCAAAAAGTGTTGGAAAAAAAATGTAACCACAGAGAAAAAGGTCATTTTGAATTTCATACCTGCAATCAGTTTTTTTTGGTCTTAATTTAATGACTCTGTGTGTTTTTAGGGAGATGATGGGAGTGAAGTCACCAGGGTAATTTGATTCTGGGATTCAAAACTCCTGTTTTATTCTGGAAAGATTGCTGAAAGAGTGATTTTATGTACTTCCTCTACAGCATTTTGTTATTAGAGAGATGGAGTTTTCTCATCCACATGAAAAGCATGCAATTTCATGTTTTGTTCTTCTGTTATATATGATATATGTTATATATGTTAAATTCATATATATGTTATATATGTTAAATTCAGTTTTAAATAGTATGAAAGAAAACAGGTGAAAAAACAGTGGGTTAAATTCTGTTTTGGCAGTGTGAGAGCATTTTCTTCAAATCAGAACTAGGATTTTTTACGAAATCAGGATTTCCTAAATTAATCAATCCCAATAAGGAAGAAAATGCAAGGGAGTGTTTAATTAAGATAGGTGTGTTGCTTGTTGCTGCTAGACTGTTTATCTTGATTTTCTGTTGTTTTCWCTCCTACAGCATTATGTATAATTTCATTTCTATGTTATTATATATCAGGTTTTATTTCATGTTGAGGAAATTAAAAGATGAATTTCAGGAAATTGTTCCGTAGATTGGTTCAAAAAGACAAGCAGAGACAAAAGGGGATCAGTATGACTTTTACATGTAGAAACTGTATTGTGTCAATTCTGCTATATAAACCTGTGACTGAGGAACAGAGGCTTGACAATCACATATGGAAGTAAGCCAAGTCAATGAATGTTTAATGTACAAGAATGACTGTATTGCTGTGCAAGCACACATTTCTTTGTGTTTGCAAGATTGCAGAGAAACTACATAGTTGCTGAGGAAGAACTGCTCAGTTTGTCATCAGCTACATAAACAAAAAGGCATCTTACCCGTGGGTGTCACTAATGAGTCTATAGAAGYGGCAGATGCTGCTGTACAGCTTGGCTAGCAGTAACTCTCCAGCTTGCATCAATGGCGTGTCAGCCAAACTGGCAGAAACAAACACTTGATAAATTTTACTGGTATTGACTGCTTCTCCAGTGGGCTCACAGGTCAATCAGTATATCAATGCTGTTCATCACAGTCCATCACAGCCATCCCCGGTCTCTGTGATCTGCATACTGGTCACTGACCATGAGCTACCTAATAGCATATTTCCCTTCTAAATAAACACCTGATATTCCCTCCTACTCCAATTCATTCATTACCTCTTCAGAGAAACAGAAATAGAAGACTACCCATGAAACACAGACAAGAGTTTCACTTGGTGAATTCAGGTATCTTCTGGTTTAATATTGTATTCCTCCCTCTTGAACCTCAGCAGCTGAAATGCATTTCTTACTCTTTATATATAGTCTCTGACATTAACATGAACTGACTCCAGTAGGTATGATGCCAAGTGGAATTAAAATCAATGTTATAAGCAACAGATGACCAAGAATATGTTGAAGTTGAAGCAAAAATAAGACTTATAAAAAATAATAAGTCTTATAAAAATAAGACTTGTTTTTTTGTTTTAAAAGTATTTGTTTAGAAGACACATGCACCGCATTCTTCCATGTTTGGTCTGACAGGAAAATCTTTCATCATTGTCACTCTAGCCTATAATGATAATAACAGTGCAGGATGACTCCTTTATGTACCAAATTACTTTTGAAATATGAACAAATTATAAATTATTCACATTTTTTAAAATCTTCCATTGAATCCACTAACGACCATATTTTTTTGATGTAATCTGCTTGCTGCTTTAATGTGAGAGCACCTCTAAGTGGCCACTGAAGGAATAAATTTTGTTTTGTTACAGTTTTTATTTTGGAAGATAATATATTAGTCTATTATTATCTATTAGTCTGTGCAGTCAACTGTTTATTGTCCACATGGAGACATGTGACAAGTAGTATCCCGCAGGGGCTGGTGGTGAGGCCAGTACTGTTCTGCATCTTTGTCAGTGACATGGACRCTGCACCACCAGCAAGTTTGCTGATGACACCAATCTGTGTAGTGCAGTCAACATCCAGGAAGGAAGGGATGCCATCCAGAGGGACCTGGACASACTTGAGAGGTGGGACTGTGTGAACCTCATGAAGCTCAATAAAGCGAGCAACAGCTGGGTCAAGGCAATCCTAGGCACACCTACAGGTTGGATAGAGAACTGACTGAGAATAGCCCTATGGAGAAGAACTTGGGAATAATGGTTGATGAAAACTCAACATAGCAGTGTGCACTCAGAGCCCAGAAAGCTAGCCGTGTCTGGGCTGCTCAAAAGGACCACAGCCAGCAGGTTGAAGGAGATGGTTCTGCCCCCCTGCTCTGCTCTGTAAGATCCCACCTGGAGCACTGTGTACTGACACCCCCAACAGTACAGCAGGAGTACAAAGGAGCTGTTGCAGCAAGTCCAAAGGAGGACCACAAAGGTGACAAGAGAACTGAAGCACCTCCCCTATGAGCACAGGCTGAGAAAGCTGGGGCTGTTCAGCTTGGAAAAAGTTGTGTGGAGACCTCACAGCACCTTCTAGTATCTGAAGGGGACCTACAGGGAAGCCAGAGACACCCTTCAGCAGRAGCTGTAGTGATAGGACAAGAAGAAATRGGTTCAAACTGAAAGAGAATTGGTTTAGGTTAACTGTTAGAAAAAAAATTCTTTATTGTGAGGGTGGAGAGACACTGGAACAGGTTGCCCAGAGACTTTGTAGATGCCCCAACACTGAAAGTGATCAAGGCCAGGTTGGATGGGACTTTGAACAACGTGGACTGGTGGAAGGTATTCCTACCTATGACAGGGGTTTGGAATGAGATGATTTTAAGGTCCCTTCCAAACCATTCTATGATTCTATTACTATTATTATTATTAATAATAATAATAATAATTATTATAATTATAATTATTATTAGGTAATATTTGTGCATAATTGACTGGATTACATTCAGCTCCTAAACACACTCAAACAATCTGATTTCCAAAGGCAGATTTTTTTTAATTAAAGGAAACTTTTTTGCTGACCATCTAAATAAAAAACTTWTGCAAATATGCTTTTTAAATACAATACCTGTTCCCTGATATGTACCCTGATAAAGTTACTGGTTTTAAAAGCCATCACAATTCTCTTAAGTTGTTTGATTATGTCTTCRTGATATCTCATACTGATGTTAATATTTATAGTCATGTGACCAAAATACTGCACTAAGAAAATTTGAAAATTTTATGTAAGTAGACACAAGTCTGACCATATACATTAATGCCTTAGGCTTTTAAACCAAATTTGATCCAATTAGAAAAACAGATCTATTTCTATGTAATATGAAATTCGTTAAATATTCACAAGATTCATACTCATAAGCTTTGTGATTTATGATAAATATTACTTTATATGGATTTTATTTCAGGGGGAAAAAAATCAAGACCATATCTCTTAATCTTAAAACGTTTTTCAWCCCCTTTTGTAACTCTACTTAGACCAGCTAAATAAATTTTTCTAGTAATGATTTCTTGGTAACTGTTACGGTCCAATTTAATTACAGAAAAGCAGAGGAAACTGAGTGTTTGTGAAAAAAGTGACCGAATGAAAAAAATGTTCAAAATATTCCCAAAACAAGATTAAAATGAAASGAGATTAAATGTYGATGCCAAAAAATTGATATACTTCATTTGATAGTAAAATAGGCAAAGGGAAAGAAGGAGAGAAGAAAGAAAGAGAGAAAGAGAGAAAGAAAGAGAGAAAGA